CCATAAGCCAAGGAAAAAGGGATTTCGCCGATTGGTTTCCGTTTGGTAGTACGGTATGCCCATAATACGTTTGGCAGTTCCTCTGACCATTTGCCTTTGCATTGTTCAAGCCTTCTCTTCAAGCAATCAAATATCGTACGATTAGTTGTCTCAACTTGCCTGTTTCCCTGAGGTTAACTTCGGGACGAGAACTGCTGAATGATCCCTTTTTCCTCGCAGTAACTTCTGAATTTATGGTTATCGAACTGGGTCCCGTTGTCTGTCACTATGGCCCTTGGTATCCCAAAGCGACAAATTATATTTCGCCATACGAATCTTACCACATCTATTTGGGTCACTGTTTTGTAAGCCTCGGCTTCCACCCACTTGGGGAAGTAATCAGTGGCCAAAAGGACGAACTTCTTGCCCCCCACTGCGGTGGGAAGTGGTCCCCCGATGTCCATCCCCCATCGGGCGAATGGCCAAGGCCCTACAACAGGGTTAAGTTCCTTGGCTAGTTGTCTGATAAGGGGCGCATGCCTTTGACATTTATCGCATTTCCTTGAAAATTGTTCTGCATCGTGGGCCATGTAAGGCCAAAAATATCCTTGGGTCAACGCTTTGTGGGCTAAGCTCCTCCCACCCGTGTGGTTCCCACATGTCCCTTGGTGAATTTCTTTTAGCACCCATTCGGCTTCACGTGGATCGAGGCATCTGAGATACGGCCCTAAAAAAGACTTACGAAAAAGTGTATCATCTATAATGGCATACCTTGCGGCCTTTATTTGCAATTTTCTTGCCTCGATCGGGTCATTGGGTTGGGTTTCCTTCGTGAGATAGTTCATGATTGGAGTTATCCACGTTTCTTCTTCAGCATCAATCGGCATAACTCCAGGATCAATTGGTATACTGGGACTCAATAAGAGTCCCACCGGGGCGACCCTCATGTCTTCCACCGATGTTGATGCGGCGTGGGCCAAGCGATCTGCTTGAACGTTCATTTCTCTCGGTATCCGTTCAAACTCTATTTCTTCGAACTTGCTAGCTAAATCCTTTACCAACCGTTGATATGCCCCCATTCATTCATCCTTAGTCGCGTACTCCTCAGTTGTCTGGCCGACTATGAGGCGAGAGTCGCTATAGACAACTAAGCGTTCCACCTTCAGCGTCCTAGCTAGTTGGAGTCATAACACTAGCGTATTCCACCATGTTGTTTGAGACGGGGAAGTCTAATCGGACGGAGTACTCCAGGTCCACTCCTTCAAGCGACGAGAGGACGATTCCTACTCCGGCTTCTGCCTGATTAGATGATCCGTCTACATACAATTCCCATTGGGCCTCGTCCGAGTTTGGTGCCTCCTTGGCCTCATCACGGTTTTCCTGTTGTTTGTTAGATGGATAGCATTCCACTAGGAAATCGGCAATTACCTGGCCCTTCTGGGCTATCCGAGGTTGATATCTAATTTCGAATGCTCCGAGCTCGATGGCCCACTTTGTAACTCTTCCTGAGAGGTCTGGCTTGGACATGACCACCCTGATTGGTTGGGTCATCAATACGATGATCGTGTGTGCCTCGAAGTATTGTCGAAGTTTCCACTTGGCCGTCACTAAAGCTAACACGAGTTTCTCAGCTGGTGGATATCTCTTCTCGGCCTCAATTATGCTCTTGCTCACATAAAATATGGGTTGCTGGATTGAATTTTCCTCCCTTAGCAGCACAGCACTTACATCAATTTCAGTGACAGCCATATATATATGTATAAAGGTTCACCTTGCTTTGGAATAGTCAAGGTCAGGGGACTAGCGAGGTACTTCTTAAGCTGCTCAAAGGCTTCTCTTTGTTCTGGCCCCCATACGCTTCCGTCCTTGTTTCGAATTGCCCGGAAGAATGGCTTACAACAATCTGACAATCTTGAAATGAATCGACTGAGAGCCGCTATTTGCCCAGTCAGAACTTGCACATCTCTAGGCGTTCTTGGATCAGGCATATTCCGTAGCCCCTCCACCTTCGATGGGTTGGGCTCGATGCCTCGCTTGTTCACTATTTGCCCCAAGAACTTCCCTGACGAAACACCGAATGCGCACTTCTTCGGGTTAAGCCACATGCGGTATCTTCTTAGTATATTGAAGACTTCTTCCAATTGCCTGACATGTTGGGATTTTTCCTGGCTCTTGATGACTATGTTATCGATGTAAACCTCCATCGTTTTGCAGGAATGAGAGAAGTTCATACCCGGCAGTAGCATCTACCATTTGATCGATCTTTGGTATCGGATAACAGTCTTTCGAGCACACTTTATTCAGGTTGATGTAGTCTACACACACACGCCATCTCCCATCCTTTTTACTTACTACCACCACATTCGAGACCCAGGTCGGGCACCACACTTCTCGAATGAATCCTGCCTCGAGCAATCGGTCCACTTCATCGCTAATAATTTGGTTCCGCTGAGGTGTGAACCTCCTCTGCTTCTGCTGGTACGGGGGGTGGTTTAGGTCAACGTTCAGCCGATGACACGCGATCTCCGGATCGATTCCCGGCATGTCCGCATGTGACCACGCGAACACGTCCTTATTCTCTATTAATAACTTCATTAGTTGTTCTACCTCAGCTTCAGATAGGAGGGAGCCCACCAACATTTTCTATCAGGATAAGAAGGATCCAGAACTTCTTCCTTGAGTGGTTCGATCGTCGGAAGCTCTGAGTTATCCTCCTCCTCTTGTTTTGGTGGGTCCTCCGTTAATTGCTATATAAATCCTCGCATTGCTGCGAAGTCGCAGCCTTAGGATTAGTTGCTATGCTGTAGCATCTTCTGGCCTCCACTTGATCCCCCTTGATATCAACTGTGGTTCTCCCATCCTCGGAAATGCACCTCATCACTTGGCAACGTGTCGATGCTTCTCCATCCATTCGATGAATCCAATTCCTTCCCATTATAGCATTATACGCGCTCGGCGCATCCACAACTACGAAAGTAACGAATAGGGTCTTACCTGCGGCAATGACCGGCAGAGTCACGTCTCCGATTGGTTGCGCTTTCATCCCTTCAAATGCGTAGATCGGTGTTGGGTTTGGTTGAATCTCCTTTTCATCCAGCTTCATTCTCTTGAAGGTGCTCTAGAATAACACGTTTGCGCTACTTCCGCCTTCAATCATCACTCTTTTTACCATCAAATTGGCAACGCGGAGGGTCACCACTAGTGCGTCGTTGTAAGGGAACTCAATACCTCCACAGGTTCTTGATTGAAGCCCGCACATCTTGTTCTTGTCCTGCTTTTCTGGGGATTCGCGGATCGCAGGTGGTGTTCGGAATATACCTTTGCCCTTCTTCTCGTGAAAAAGTTTGGCTAAACTCGCCTTGAGCCTGGTAGGGTCGTCTTTGCTTAGGTCCAGTGCTAAATTCTTGTCTTGAGGAATATCGCTTTGTCTCCGCTTTTTGCTCCGGTGGAGTCTTTGGGGTCGCAATGGTGGAAGTGATGCGTTTTGACTGGGTGAGCTCTTCTTCCTCTAGTTTGATGATTCCATCCGCCCGGGCCATCACTTCCCTCATATCCACTGGTGGGGTCTTCACTAAAGACCTGTGCATTTTTGTTCCTGGTATGACCCCCTCACGAAACGCCAGCGAAGCAGTATGAGAATCACATTCCTCAAAAGTAGACATTTCCTCCGTAAAACGCCTCAAGTAGTCTTTGCTTCGTGCTGAATAGGATCGTGACGTCCTTTCTTCTTTTTTTAATGCAAATGTACTGAGATATGAACATTTCACAAAGTTGGGTGAAATCGCCAATAGACCTTGGTTTCAACTGTCTAAACCAAATCAGGGCCGATCCCGACAACCTTGAGGGGAACAACTTACATAACGGGTCTCGTCATCTCCTTCGAGCACCATTTGTTGTTGGAAATGGTAGATGTGTTCAATGGGATCAGTCGTGCCCTCGAACAGCTTAAACTTGGGTTGGGTGAACTTAACTGGCTTCTTGGCTTTCAGGATGTCTTTCGTGAATGGCGATTTGCAGATTCCTTTCACTGCCTCCAAAGCTAGTTCAATGGGTGTTTGTGGCTTGTACCCTCTGATAATCTTCTTGATCTAACTGCGCAAATCAATGTCCTTCGCCCTTTTCGCCATTTTATGCAGGTCGAGATCTTTGTCTTGATCTTCTATCGTGGCCGTGTCACGGACGCTCGAGTGTGTGCTGCTAGAGGAGTCTCTCTCAGAGATCTCATGTCTCTGCTTCCTCTTGCCCTCTTTTGAGCCCTCACGGCAAGCAATGTTCTGCGCCTTCTCCAGAGCTTTCTCCGCTACCTTTCTTGTTTCGCGCAATTCTTTCATGATTTCCCTCAACTGGATAACAGCAAGGCTTGGTTCCCCATCTTGGGCGTTGGACCTTGCGCTTCCGGGTCGAGGACTGGACATCGCATTCCCCGGGATGGAGGTGTTTGGAGTTCCCCATGCAGGTTTAGTCATATTTATGATCAACTTTGTGAGATTCCCACAGACGGCGCCAACTGTTGGAGCAAGATTTCTTTCAAGAAGAAATACCTCCACAGGTTCTTGACTGAAGTCCGCACGCTTCCTTGGTTGAAAGAGAACTCCGGATTACGTTCCCGAAATCAAACGATGGAAAGGGGGTGAGTACCTGCAAAAGTCACTCCAACGCTCAAGTCAGTGTTTGTGCGACGTACTCTTAGTGTTCGGTTTAATTTCTCATACCTTTGCTGGAGGTCTAGCTGGATTTTTATAGCACTCCGAGGTCATGGGTTTAGCCCCACTTCCCTAGCTTTGCGCATCCCGTCCTCCACTTCATGGTAATGGGATCAGACGAGCGATTTGTGTCTCCCTTGTTCCGCACTCCTCTAGTGGGAGGGAAGTTTGATCATCTCACGTTGTTTAGTTGTGGCATATGGGTTAGGCCATGATACGTTAGATTTGGTCCCCACAAGAGGACATAAGATTGAATTTACAAGAATTTGGTTCTCATGTTCGTTGACATTATGCATTACAATGTTACAAGAAAAGAGCTTGCAAATATCATCATATATCCATGATTTTCATTTTATTCATTGGAAACGAAAGAAAATATAGTATTAATCACTCTTCAAACCAAAGCTCCAAGCACAAGCCAAACACGGTTTTGGAAAGAAATGAAGAAAAAAAAAAAACCACACCATTATTTGATGCCAAAGAGGACATAAGATTGAATATCACCAAGTGATAAAGCTATGAAAATTTAGTTGTAGGCATCATGGTGTTCCAAGAGGTAGTTCTCAATGAGCTTGAAGAGATGAGAGGCCTTCTCTTTGCCAGCCTTGACATGCTCTTCCTTGATCTCAAAATCTCCCTTGGTGTAGTAGTTGCTGGTGCTCTTGACGACAGAACCACTGCCAGATGCCACCAACTTAGTCTCATATGAGATCTTCTCAATTGTCTCTGAGATTGCGTCTCCTTCGATAACACTGTACTTGTACACGAAGTTCTCTTTGTCAATCCCATCAATTCTGTGCTTCACATAGCTGTAAGTGCTACCTGCACAAATATATACATATATACCAGATGAATCTTTCTGTTATGAAATAAGATGACCCCAAAAACATATTTCTGTAACGTTAAAATTACAAACCAGAAGAGAAAAAAAAATTCTAAACGTACCTTCACCAAAGTTAATTTTCTTGATGGTTCCAACGCCTCCATCTCCTTCAAGGATCTCAGTGCTCTTAACTGCCTGTGGTGCAATTTTTGGGACGAGGTTGTCAGCATCAAGAACAAAGGCATTGAACAACCTAGCAGGGGGGATGACAGAGTTGATCTCGGTTTCATATGTGAACACACCCATGATTCTGTAAAAAGTGTTTGGAAAGTGACAAAAAAAAGTAATTGATGACTAAGAAAGATGATGTAAATGGGAGATTTTGGGTTGTGAAGAAGTGAGGAGGAGGTATGGTATTTATAGGAACCAGGTGATCAAAAGGTTTATGCAAGTTTGTAATTGTTTAATTGGTTGTATTCATTGTGACGTGGGAGCCATTACTTTTGTACAAAGGAATTTTGTAATTTAGTCAAGGGAAGGACCATCTGCAAATTGAATTTAAAATTCCAATTAATCCACGAGGTGGACTAACCTCAATTATTTCTTGCCAACTGTTTGAATACAAGTTAAAAATTTCCATGTGCATTCAATGAGTGCTTTGGACGACTATATTCTCTCACATTGTAACAAATTGACAGTGTCTGTGATTTCATATGTATGAGAACCCAAGAGAGGAAGTTTTCAAAGAAATGAGAATGCTTTTCAATAAGAAATTGAAATTCGAAACCCACTTGGGCTGCAGCGATTAAGACTAGATAATATCTGACCATACAATTACAATGTAATGTGGATGTCTCTTGGTGTTTCCATATGTGGGACTCTTGAAATGCAAATGAAAATGATGGGCAGCCCATGTTGAAATGCAAGTCAAGTCATCCAAATTTGAAGTTCTGGAAGTGCATACTATTTGTGCGGTGGGGACAATCATATTGTGAAATTTGGAATTTACTTCTTTAGAAAGTTCCTGCCTCCAACTTTTTATCAACATTGGGCACCGTCCCATTTGATTCCAGCTAGTGTACTAATTAACTTCAGAAGATTTGCTGCTGTTTAGTAAAGGTTAACAATTACGCGAAATAGATGATGGTCAACCGTTGATGCATATGAAATTTATAGCCAACAACTAACAATCAATTATGGCGCATAGGGTGGCACCACTGTGAAAAAGTGGGCTAAACTCTCCCCTCACCCCCTAAGTGCACCAAGATTTGATTCACGTAAGAGACAATCTTAAGACAACCCAATATATAAAAAAACTAACAATCAATTATGAACTTATCTGTAAGCAATAATGTTGTGTCCTTTCTCTATTAATTATTCTACATTGTGGCTTTTCTTTTTTCTTTTTCTTTTTTACTTTTTTCTTTTTTTTATTATGCCAAAGCAGTCTTTGGCTTACACTTTGGAGTTATGATTAAAGAGTAATGTTGCATTTTATTTCAATTTCAATAAATGAAACCAACAAAAATCATTTGATAGCCTTCACAAAAATGGTTTTGTGCAATGTTCTTCTTTTCCCCTGCTTTCATGAATTCCACCTAGAGGCCTAGAACAACAATCACAAGATAATAGGATCTATAGTGTTTCATATACTTAAATGAAAGGTTTTTAATGCCCAATGAGACACTTTATTTTTGGGTTGGCTATGAATGGCATATTGGCTACTATTGCTTTTGTTAGTTTTTGTGTTTGCCTTTGGTGTCTTTGATTCTTTACTGATATCATGTTGTCAGGCTTAAATTGTCACATCCTGAGATCGGCTCCGCCGTAGTACGATATTGTCACCTTTGGGCCCCCCACTCTACCCTCACGGTTTGTTTCTGGGAATTCACGAGCAACTTCCCAATGGGTCACCCATCCTGGGATTGCTCTAGCCCCAACTCGCTTAACTTCGGAGTTCCCATGACTCCGAAGCCAATGAGCTCCCAAAATGCCTCATGCTAGATGGATGCGGGTATATACATATAATCACCCCCTCTCCGTTGGTCGATGTGGAATCTCACATAAATTGCTTGTGGTCCTTTTGGAGTCAAGATTGAAGAGTAATATTGTACTTAATTTCAGTCCCAATAAAAAAATTAAACATAAATTTCAGTACTTAATTTCAGTCCCAATAAAACATAAAACATTAATTTGAGTAATTGTTACCAACTAATAGTAAATTGTTTTGGCTGTTTGAATGGAAGTTTCCTCTAATCAAAATGAAAAACTCAAAACTAACAATGACCGTTTGACAACATGACGCTGGTGCAATCATATCTTGACTAACATGTCAAAAACCAAATTTTTTTATACTGAAATGCTTTAAAATGAGGCTGAGCATCTGCGAATTGGACAAACGAGAACCAAATTCTTACTGTAAACAGTGTCGTGAATCTTCATATTGTGGATATCTGCTATGTTGGCCGTAGCTGCGATGCCCAACATAATTTCACTAGCAATTCTCCCTATCAACTTGCTGGGCATTCGCGGCAACAGATAGTGTAGCAAGAACTACGGTGAGTGTCATTTCAAACAATGGAAAATAGACTGAGTCACCTTAATTAGCGGAATCAAATAATTACCAAATGATGTTCCTTTAATTATAAAGATTGAATTCAAATAAATACACACTCATCATAGAAATGAAAGCTGCACCAATGAATGAAGGTGGAAAAAGAGGACACAAGACTTTTGTTGCTCTCTACAAGCAGTACTGCAACAGATAGTTTTACTTGTAGGCATCAGGGTTGCCCCAAATGGTACTTCTCAAAAACCTTGACCAAACCAATGGGTCATTTCTCAATTTATGCATGTTGTGGGAGCAATTTTCCCCACAAGAATATTCGCCCAAGATTCCTTCGTCTTCTCTGCTTCTCTTTCTCCCTGCAAAATAAATCGGAGTAAAAGGACCACACCCGAGGGGTGTTGGCCAAAGGCCCTCCGATGCCTAAGTTAGGTTAGGTGTTTCAAGGAAAACCGGGTGGGCGGAGACGTGTGTGGTGGCCGGAGCCTTGTGCGAGAGAGAGAAAGAATAGGAAGGGAGAAGGGCTTATGAGAAATAATTTATGCAGAGTTTCAGTAGGAATTCAGACGTACCTCAATCATCGTGTGTAGCCAATATTTATAGAGGGTCTCAGAGGCTTTAATTTGGGCGAGGTTGGTGTGGTTGGTGGGGTTGGTGGGGTTGGTGTATTTAGGGGTTAGGGATTTAATCAAATCCCTAATTAAGACGAAAATCAAAGACGTCTAATTTAAATCAAATAACCTCCTAATTAATTCAGATAACTCCCAATTTGGTTTGGTAACCCCAAATTAGGTCAAATAATTCCCAAATTGATTGGCCTAATTATTTGACCTAGAATGAGATATTTTGCTTCCACAAATGCCCCCCAGCTTCTGCATGGCGCGTGGCGGCATGGAGGAGGTGTGAATTAGATGTTGGGCTGTCCAGCTATAATTGGGCTTCCTTCTGTGACTTGGGCTCCTGAGTGGAAGAGGTTTTTGACTTGCCAATTGGACTTTGACTTGGGCAGTCTAGCTATAACTGGGCTAGAGGTGCGCTGGTCTGCTGCTAGAGCGGGTGGCAGTTCGGGCCAGCTTAGTTATTGGGGTTGGTCCAAACTGCTTCAATTTTTTGTGCCACGAACTAGGGATAGTCTGAGTCAAGGCGATCATGCGTGGCATACAAATGTGCTGGAAGTCATCGGCAGATGGGAATGGGAGGTCAGCGACGGTCCGCTCGTTCCTCATATCTACTGTGATGGTAAGTTGTACTTCTTTGATCTGCTATAGTTTTTCTGAAACTTTGTTGTGTATCTGACTGACTTTCATCTACTGCTTGCAGAGAATAACATCTGCAAGAAGCTCTATCTCGACCTGAACATGACCAAGGTTCAGCAAGCTTTGAACATCCATGCTCAGTTTCGTGAATGGCGCTGGTTGCTGAGCGAACACTGGAAGGAGGTCGGCGGTCTGCCCCCTGTGGAGGATATTGAAAGATGGAAGCTGCATGGCTTTGACTTAGGTGATCCGCCAGTTGAGCAGGAAGAGTCCTCGACCGAGTTTCCGAGGGAGAGGAAGGCTAGTAGCAGATCTGCCCTCGATGAAGCCGCAATCTCACGATCAAGGGACACGTCTCCATAACGAAAGCAGCCGAGACTTTCTTCTGCCACGAGCAAGTCTTCCTCAAGGGGGGTCTTGCCTGCTGAGAAGGTCCATGTGGGAGTTGCTCATACTTCGTTTTCTGGGACCAAACGCCTTGTCAGCTCGAACAGCAAAACAGTCAGTGGCATGCAGGAGGTTCGGGATATTCTGTTCAAGTTTCCGCCCGTGCTACCCAAAATTCGTGATTTGCCTTGTAAGCAGGCTGTTGAGAAGCAAGGTTTGGGGCGTCTGCGCCGATCCGAAGATCAAACTGAGAGGACTGTACCTCTACCTAGAAACCATGAGCTGACTCGATGTTGCAAGTTGCAGCCAAGAGAGCTAAAGAGTCGTCTGCTCGAGCAAAGAGTCCTTCAGCTGTGCGAACTGCTGGTCCGAAAATAGGTGGTAACCCTGCTGGGGGTGAGTCCGTGTTTGATCTGCTTAAAACGGGCTTCCTGTCAAGTCCAACTGCCTGTGCGAGGCTGGTCGACCACGTGTATCAAGCTGGTGACCTTGGTGCTTTCTCGAGCCTTTCCTTGGATAAGCAAGAAGAAGCTGCCATGTATCATCTTCAAAAGGGGATGATTTTTAGTGTTGGGGCCATGCGGAACTCACGTGCTGTTGCCCCCTCTTCTGTCCTGCTTGACGAGCTTGTGAAGAAGAATGCTGATCTGGCTGACAAGCTCTCGAACGAGCGGATTTTCCATGATGCGAGGATTTCCGAGATGAACGAGAGTATGTCAGCGCTTAAGAGTTCTGTTGGCCAGAAGGATGGTAAGCTTGAGTCTCTTATGGCTACCCTGCTCGAACACAAGGAAGCCTACTTTCATCTCGAACGTAAACATGCTGCTCTGGTCCAGGATCGCGACAAACTGCTGGCCAAGTTTAACACCTATGTGGAAGCCACGGAGGCATCCAAGCATGAGATTGCTGCGAACGCGTACAAGTTGGGATATTTGGATTGCCAGAATGGTGTTTCTCCATGTTGTCCTCTTGAAGATGATGATGGTGAGCCACTCTGTTTTGTCCTGCCCTCTGCTCAAGGTGAGCAGACTAATGCTATGGACGTAGAAGCGGTTGAAGAGCATGTAGCAAATGAAGATGGAATGGGGGAAGACAATGCCCATGGTGGTACAGCTGACGAGTTTGGGGCAGATGCGGAGGTGGAGGCAGCTGAGGCTGCAGAGCAGCTGGTGCCGGTTGAGCAGAATGAAGCTCATTTCTTGTT